AAGTTGTCAATTTCATGTGTACTGTTCTTATAGACCCGCTTTGCTCAAGTTTGTCAAATTTCATATTTACATATTTACCGTAAAAGTCGGACACGAGTACCCCTATGGCGTGTCCCCTCTTCCAGTTTTAAAGATCTAGGTGGTGATTTATACTGAGTATTATACATACTATACGTGTCATACCAGATAGATATAGTAAAGCATATTGTCTTAATACGGTGTACTCCCATACAGGTACAAATTTGAATTATGAAAATACACGGGGTACTCTTTACGGTAAGTTCATTTATACTGTATATCCCATAGAATTCACTCCGGAAGATTTGCTCCGAACTACATATCTATATGTCTGTATTTTCGAGGGTGGCAAGCATCAATAAAATAGATCAATTTTGCTTTGAAAAACAGGTCAATTTTACTTTGAGAATCAGAACAAGAAGTTATCCCGCCAAATGTCCTTTATCTATATACTTTGCTATAAGTGTTCTCTAAATTATGTACGTAACGGTATGTAATACTTGTGATACAAATGCAACGCAAACTATTCTAATCATATGATTTTTCTCTTTACCAAACATAGATTACCGATATTTTTTTTTTGTACTATGTTTATTTTGCAATAAATAAAACTGCAACTATAAATGGTATTATAAATAGACATGAAATACAGTCTAATTAAACATAATTTACATGGCTAGCACTTTCTTTTTTTCTCGTTTCATTCTTTTACATAAATCATAATTTGTGTGATTAAAATAAGTAAGTAGCTAGCAATCAAAAAATTTTGACAACCATGCCAACAAACTGGGAAGATTTGCTATGGCGTCCGTTGCATACTGTAAAAGCTACCATGGATTATCAAAGCGATCATCCTATGGATTTATGTTTTGAAGTTGGTGATATTATTGATGTCCTTGGCATCGGTATGTTGAATCTTCTATGTATAAAAAAAATATAAAGAATTTCATAAAATTTATCCTATTTTAACGTCTTTTTTAAGAAAATGATAATTGGTGGAATGGCTGCATCGTAGAATGTCATGGCGCAAAATCAAAGAATTTTGGTTCATTTCCAAAAATCTTTGTCGAAATAATCGATGAATCTCCTCAAAAATCATCTAAACCTAAAAAAATTACAAATACTTGGTTTAAAGATGAGCTTCAAAAGGCTTTAGGACAACAGAGTGAGAATGTTATCTCGAAATCAAAACCGATCGTTAATTCAAAATCTTTGGTTAAATCTCAACCATCTGCTGATAAACTACCACCGCCACTACCTTCACGTGAAAAACTTATGATCCGTCAAAATTCTACATCTTCAGTCGAAACTGTCGCTTCAAGGAAGATATCTCCGACGAGACAAGATTCGTATCGTCTAGATAGTCCGGTACTTAGAAGGAAGAATTCATCTAATTCTATCGGTAGTGAAAAAAGCAGCAGCAAAGCTTCAACCGCCTTTTCAATCGACAGTGAAACACTTGTTGAGTCTGAAGAGGATCCTGATCCTATTAGGTATTGTCCAAGTTTTACTCTCTCGTTTCTTTACATAGTTTAAATTATTTAAATTGATAAAAATTTTCAAATTTTTGTGAAAAAGTCGTTGCTTGCCTATAGTTGACAAGGATTTCGAAGAATATTTGGTAACGTCCGGTATGCATTTTGGGTTGAT